AATCTTTACAAAGGGGAAAAAAAAAAAAAAAAAAAAAAAAAGCGTACTCTGATATCTTTTGCAGACTGAAACACCACCATGCTGGTAGCTCAGAAGACACAGCAATCAAAATAGAGTGCACTTGTGTCATGACAATCCTGTGATTTCTAATTGCTAAAACAATTACTTGGAACCACATTGCAGCCTTACATTTCTAATGTGAACTGGCAAAATGCAGACCAGCCAATGAGAAAGAAAATTCAAAGCTATCTGAAGAATGCATTTATTTGCAGCTTTTCAGACCTGCAACAAGTATTTTGATCTGGATTCCAAATTGGGTATGAATTCAATCTCGCAACCTTATTATGAAAGATCAGGTAAAGGTTTGAGGTGGCCACCTAGATTCCCCTAACTAAATTCACCACTTTGAAAGGAATTCCCAACATGCCCACATTCTGAATCACAGTTCCAAACATTTCCAGACAACTTTCAGGAGCCAGATCTACCACCAGTTTTTCTTGTGTATTTAGGGAGGAGCTGTCTGTCAAGTCTGTTCTCAGGCCAGAGCTAGTCTTCTTCAGAGCCCTCTGCTGGTGTTGCACCCGGAGCCAGCACTAGGACCCTTTTCTACAGCCACATCTATAGCTGTCTCCAAAAGCATTTCTAGAGCACTTGTCAGATTATGGAGTATGACAAAGGCAGTATTTTGAAAAAGACAAAACTACCAAAATCAATTATATAATTAAGCCTATGAAATCTCTCCATCCTTGTTATTCAATTGACTAGAAAAAATCTCTATAGTCAACTTCCTTCCAAAATTTAAAATATTTACCATATTTCCTACACACACATTACTTCTATTAATTTACATATCTGCTATTAATAGCACAAACTGAGTTTTTATGATTATTACCTTCAGCACGCAAAACTGACATAGATCACCAGTAAATACTCACCTTCAGAAAATGCTAGATGTAAAATAAAAGATCTTCGAAATCATCATTCTCATCCACTTGTACAGTATCTAAATACATCAAACATGCAGTGCACAAGAGCCAGTAGAGAAATACAAAGGGGCAGATGGTCACAGTGTAACAAAGGGATACAAAGAGAGTGAATGAATGTTTTAAAACTGCAAACAGATCAAACCAGCAAATTTAAATGGACACAGAAGAAGTTGATATTACAAGATATTAACACTTTCATACAGAAAAGTTTTATTAGGCATTCAGATTCCACTTCCAAAATCTGTATCCAAAGCCATGCTTTTCAAGTCAGTTGGCATCATTTTTGCATTCCATGACTGGTTTAGTAAAATTTAATTTTGTTTGTAGATTTATAAGTGAACAAGTTTCATGCTATGGTTTGAAGAACATAAAACATAAAAGCTAACTCTTAAAAAAAAAAAAAGAAAGAAAGAAAGAATGAAAGAATGCAAGTGTTACTCATTCAATGCCTGGCTCAGGATGAAATATATATATAGCTTTTTGCTAATTAATACAAATACATCCAAAGGATGTACAGAGTGCCCCTAAGATTTAAGCAGACATGTCTAAATAGAAAATACATGGAAAATATTTGCTATTAAGTATAACGGAATTCATCAACCAAAATAAATCAGTGTAACAGTGCTACACACTAGCCTTTTTCACAGTTTCAAACAAGTATGCCAGGACATTTTCTTCACTTTTGTATCAGTTTGGTATAATAGATATCTTCTCCTTGCTCCTCTCCTTCTCAATGTCAATATTAGTGATATTCATACATCACAAATCTCAATCTATTTATATCATTTCCTTCAGCACGGAAATTGTGAACAACTGTAGTGCTAGGATTTCTCTTTCACATGTTTTGAGTAAACATTGATACAGGCAATCCATCAAGCACTCCAGACTTTTAAGTGATGCTGCAGTTAGTGACACCCCGGCAGAAAATAAGTTTAGGAATAATGAATGAATTTATAAATTTCAGGTGAGCTCATGTGACACTTACCACTGCCATTTAAGTTCACTGGAAATCAAAGGCAAGTGGGTAAGGACTCTAAAGAGCATTAGAGCTCTTAGGATCAAGAAATCAGTGGTGAATTCTTGTCTGTAGAACGGAACCCAAAGACAAAGGGACACCTTTTCCTCTATATTGTTACAGTGGCTATAGAACAACTTCATATTCCAGCAAAATTTCCTCAACAAAGCTGTCTCATTACAACAGAATAAAGGAAAAGCTGCTGAAAGAGTACCAACACTGATGCCAACAAAGTAGATATTAAAGATATCTGAGTCACAAATATAAGAGAATATAAGAGGGGTACAATAAAAAATACAATGATTTATCTGACTTACCCAACAAATTTTTACTAGCTTTGAAAAACTACCTTATTTAAATGTACAAATCATGCAGGAAAAAAAAAAAAAAAGCTAACACATCATAATGTTGCAAGCCTTATAAAATATTTTGACTGTACTAAATCAAATAAAAAACTTAGCTGTGTAAATCTCTGAATTTCCTTGGCTTCAGTGGAAGAAATGAACAGGTGTATCAACACACCAAATCTGGCATTACTTTCTCCCCTACTTATTAAAAATATATAAAATTATATATATATTAAAATAATTGATAATAAATATAATAATTATTATCATAATAATAAATAATAAAATAAAATTTAATATATATATTGGGATTATATAAAATTAAAAAAAAAAATGAAACCAATAGCACTTTGTTTGAGTCAAGCAAGGGAGAAGGGAAATAATAATTAACTGTTCCCATAGCACACCTTCACACAACGGGAAGAAAACTAATTGCTGCTTATGACTTTCTTAAGGGCCAGTGAAAGGAACTGTGGAAACCTAATGGCTTTAGTGGGAAGTCTGGTCACACAGCGACGTTAGGTAACAGTATCAAACAGAGAAATAAATCATACTCTCAGTTTTCTGTCTGTTCTTTTCTTTCTTATTTCTTATTTGACCAGCGTGGCTGTGATGCAAAAGCTAGGCCCTTAGTTTTGCAACATACTTGTCCCTGAAAAAAACAAAGCCTATATGATAGCATAAGTCAGCCACTACAGGGTGGGTCTTGGAAAGAAGAAATTAAATCAAAAAATCAGCAATGTGTTTTTAGCACACTACCTCTTTACTTTCAAACATCTGCTTTGTAAATTGATTCTGAAAGGAATGTAAAAACCATGCTTTCCACAGTTTCCTGTGTACAACAGTAATCTATCACAGATAAATGATTTTTAAAAACACATTGTAAAACCATTAAAACAAAAATGCCTTAGTAACAAAATTATCACATTATCAATTGCAAATTGCTTCTGATTCCCTGATTTCCATGAATGTTCTATATATGACATCCTATAATTCCTTTCAAACCTAATACGCAGCACGGCAAAACTGTAACATGGCTGCACACACACGCAGCCTGATGACACCATCAACTATAAGGCTGTGTTCAGTGCAAGACACATTTTTCTGCTGGGTAACAAAGATGGCACAGCTAGCCCAAGGCTGCCAAAACAGTATCATTTGTTGTGTAACTCGTAGCTAACATAAAAAATAATGTGTGTTATAATTGTATTTGGATTCAGATGCCAGCAGGACCTTTTCTTTCTTTATGAAAAAATATCTTGGGCTTTGTAAGAAGAAAACTTTGCAAACTGTTGCCATAAATTACAGTTTTAACCACATTATACATCTAAAACTGATGACACTTTAGTTCTTAGCTGGAGTCTGGAATATACAGAGCAACAAAGTGCTGTGACAACCTCCCACTGACAACCATATTAACTTTATATTTGATTATTGATAAGAATATCAGATTGCTGCTGTGGGATGTCACAGCAGTACACACCTCAATGATACAGGAAGCATTAAACATTTTGTGTCATAGTACACTAGTCATACTCTTTCTATCAGACATATCTTCAAGTACCCCATTAAAATAAAATTTGCTACATGACTGGTAAATGCAAAGAACACTCCAATTACTTTATAGCTAGTTGAATAATAATAATAATAATAATAATAATAATAATAATAATAATAATAATAATAATAATAATAATAATAATAATAATAATAATAATAATAATAATTTTACAGAGAGACACTTGGCTATAATTATAGGGGAAAACGTTTGTACAAGTGTCACCCATCTCTGTGTGAGAAATGTTTCTCCCTGCTGAACTATTAGAGAATGAGAAGTTTGGTGCCTCATCTAAAACATACTTTTGGCAAGCATGGTGAAAGTGATGTCAGACAGATACAGGCACTAGGATCACACTTTAGTCAAGAGAGCAAACACTGGTAGGATGACATAAGAATCTTAAGTGCATGCAGAAAAGCCATTGCTGAGAAGCTTGAGTAAATGCAGAGGCCATCTTACAAGTAACAGTAGCATACACAATGTTAACTCAACTGCTTACCCACTAAGTACACCAAGAACCAGGTTAAGTACGAAAAATGAGCCAAGGATGATAAGACTAACAAAATAGATCCATGGCCATTCACATCCTATTGCATCATTTACCTGTAAAATGCAAGGAAATAAGTTATGATTCTGTCATTCATTAAACAGCAGAGTCCTTTTTTGCAGCTGCCAGATCACGTAGGTGTTAACACTGAAAGTTTAGGGCTTATTCAGTTCTTAAAAGCAAGAAACTTTTGTTTAATTTATTTACTTACCCAAATTATATTGCAAATGTGATGCTGCAGAAGCTGAATTAAAATAACATATTTAAATAGGTGCGGGAGAATTTTTAGTTCTTCTCATACTTTTGCCACAAATATGGACATATATATATATACTGGTATGTCTGAATTCTGATTTTTTATTTGGTATTTTGTATGAAAGCTACAGAAAACTCCTTCTGTTCAAAATTAGAAGAGGAAAAATAGAAATTTAATTAAAAAAAATAAAATGTCATTGCAACTGAAGTCTCACCTGTATAAGATAACCTGTGTGTTCATGGCAACTGAATTAAGGACTCTGCCTTCATGATGAAAAAGGTGTATGCTTACCCGCTCAATACACCAAGAACAAGATTTAGTACGAAAAATGACCCAAAGATGACGAGACTGACAAAATACACCCATGGCAATTCAAATCCCATAGCATCATTCATCTGCAAGAAATAAGATGATCTTATAGAGTAGATCACTATAGTAATAGCAATGAAGAATCAGAGAAACAGAACTTAATCATTCAGATGAGACAGCATTCTATGCATTCCTGCAGCAATTATCAAAGGAGAATAATGTAAGAAAAAAGGCACTGGCCACATCAACTTGCAGTCATAATACGTATTCTAGGAAAAAGTACTGAGTGAACCTAGCCTTCAGATCAAAAATACTATCAAACATACAAATAGAGCACTATAACATTAATAGCATTAATTCTTTAATACCTAAAACGGTAAATTTCAGATCTCACTAAATTAAAAGATGTTTACAAAGTGCATTGAAATACTAGGATTTTTAATTCATATATATCCTAACTACATGAATGATCCTTTGAGAAAGTAAACAGTAACATGTATCTCAGCAGGACAAGCAATATTATTTTTTTCTGCAAAATTGAATTTCAGTACTTTTTCCCTGAAATACTACAGCTGGATGCAGTCAGATACTTGAAAAAACATGAACACTTTTATGAAAATTAAAACCTGAAATCAAATTTTAAAACATAGCAGAAACATGGAAATATTCCAGAAACAATGAGGTTGAAGTTAGTGAACTTCAGACAGACTATTTATAGGTACACACAAATTTTTCTACAAATCTATCTTTTCCATTGTTATTTTTAGCAATCCTATGAGATGGATTCAAGAAACATATCCAGGGAAAACTAAGAACTGTTCAGAAAATAAAAGATACTTTAAAACACAAAAAAATGGTTATTTTATCTATCATTCAGGTGTAAAGAGACATTAAGTTATAAAAAAGCAATTCTGACTTGGAGCTTCTTGGAAATTTCTCTTATGGGAGAAGAATTATTCTGGCTTTTTTGTTTATACTGACAGGTTTGCACTATGTTCTTCTTGAGATGCTTTTTGGCCATGAAGATTCATCAGACAAAATAAAAATCCATGAGGATTCAGGACTATATATGGCAATGTATAACGATTTTTGGGCAAACCTTTTTCTCTTTGTGAATGCTGTTGTATGTCTGTCTGTCGCATCTGCAACTTGTGATTAGGCTTTGAGCTCTATAGACAGTCCATTTTAAATCATGTCACTAACATCTCTGTTGGAATGGACACAATCCCATATTAAGCATGGGAACAAAAGGTTTTCAAGGTGTACTTTGCTTTTTTTTTTTTTCTTTTTTTTCTCTATCTTTTAAAAATTTGTTGTAGTCTAAGTTTCTGCAAGGCACTCCAATGGATAGCTAGATGTAAGCACATGCATTAAGTCTTTGCAGGTTAAGGCCCACAGGCACTTTTCTTCACTAGTGATCTACAATAATACCATTTGATACTAACTGGAACTTCCAAAATTACCAAAAGAGTAATATACAATCGCTTACTTGATAGTATATGTAAAAAAAGATTTAAAAATGCAAGTTATATATTTGATTTGGATTTTTTTCCTTTTAATTTCAATAAAGCAATATTTTAGAGAAATTAAAATGGAGAAGAGTTACAGCCATTCTGAAAGGCTGGGATCTTTGGCTTCAATTTTAAAAGATTTCAAGTTTCCATGGTCCAGTTCTGCTACATCTTATTCATGTGGGAAATAAAATCTTTCATAATGCTGCCATTACACTGACCTACTTCAACTCAATCTCCTGTGCAATACGTTTCTGTGCAGTACTTTTAGCAATACTTAGCATGGTAGGCACCTAAGCTAAGGGGACCAATAGTTTATCATCTGTGCCTGTTTCCTCAGTGTGAGTCCCCTCCTTTGAGAAGTCTTAGCAGCAAAAGAGAGCTAAGTATTTAAGAAAATGCCCTACTGCTGACACTGAATTTCTTCTTTGTTCCAGTGTGTGTTGCCCTTTGCACCTTCTTCCAACTATAAGCATCTGGCCTTGAAGTTTAGGAATCAAATATACTCAGTTATTTTTTATTTTTTTATTCAATTGCATACTTAGTAATTATTTTATTACTTCAGAATTGAGTTTCCTTCATAGAAATTATTCACATAATACAGATCAGGCAAAGATGGTTTCTAACAATAGTGTGTAAGAGCCAACATTTTGTCTGAACTTCAAGTACTTGCAAATGTGTTTTGTATCCAACTTAACTATACCATTTGCACACAGTATTTTGCAAGTTACCAGAGTTCAGAGTGAGGGCATAAATTCATCTGGTGCTGATGTCAATGTTTTCCTGCTACAAATCATTTTGAAAAACCTGAAATTGCAATTACATTTTAAGAAAGATATAAGATAACAAAAGATACGAGGAAAAGAAGTGCTCTGGTAATCACTGCAACCTAACCTGATACATTCCTTTTGCTAGGGAGGATGTATCCAAGAAGCCAGGCATTGTGCTAGCTTAGTAACCCATATACAAAGCTGAAATTTCCATGGTCTGTCATAAAGGCTCTATTAGCACACACAGCTGTGATTTGCATATCCTTCATTCACTTTAGAGCAATGTATAAAAAGAAATCCTAATTTATGCAGTTTGGTTCTAAACCCAGTATTTCAGGCTAATCTATCTAGGACTAATGTCCTGTGATATGAAACCTGGAAACTGCAGTTAACCAGCACCAGAAGAAATGTTTTGGTTTGGGCAGATGCTGAACTAATCCAAAAGCAATCCTTAGTCAGGAACCCATATTCCACTAGAACAGGTTGGTACTAATTCCTAAAATCAACAGCATGAAACTGCTTCTATACAATTTTACCATTTAAATCTAGAGACAAACTCTCTTTAAGTAACATACTGTAATTTCTATTCATGAAATAATATTTCTGATTGCATTAATACCAGAGATGAAAGCGTGTAAAGAAGACCTTTCCATTTGGAAAACTTTACTGCTCATTTCATGCATGTCAAGTGGCATTTTTCATAACTTTCAATTAAAGAAAGATTAGAAGAGTCAATTTGTACTCTGACTAATGATGGAGGCAGAGTTTTGGTAATATATACACAAAAGAATCTCCATCCTCCGAAATGATTTTTTTTTTCAATTGAAAGCATTGATACTAAATTCTCACACAAAGTCCAGATATAGGAGTTAAAAGACACAAATTCCAGACCTATTGGAAGTTGCAACTAAGAAACATAAATGCCCCTAAATAATGCTACAAGGGCATCAGGAGATCCAGGAGCTATCAGATCTCAAATCCTTAGTAAAGTCTTACAAGACCCCCACTCTCTGTGGCTCAGAAATACAGCAGCCTAGAGCAGCCATCAAACCTAGTGGCTCTCAATGGACTTACTTGTCCCATCTCTTTTTGGAGCCATTAAGCTTTTAGCATCCATAACACCTATCACAAAGACACTTGCCAAGTGCCATTCTTCCTGCCCTTCTTTGTACCATTTTCCAGATCTAGACATAATGTTTTGATTTTAGCTCTAATTAATTTGTCCATCACATCATCCAGAGGACAGACAAGATGAAGGATGATATGAAGGACAAAGTGAGTGTTTTTCTTATCACTTAATTACATTTCACTATAATGGTAGATGCATTACGATTCAGTTAGATAACTGTTTAAAAATGCTCCCCCCCCCTCTTTTTTTTTTTTTTTTTTTTTACCAGAGATACTTTTTTTGGCTACATTCTGACATTTTCAGCCTTTCATACAGACACTACATTAGAGTTCTTACGTTGTATGCTTGAACAGCTTTGAAAATAACATTTGAACTAAACTCTGAAGCTCTCCCTATCCTTTTCATGGTGACGCAGGAACTAACTGCTCTGAAGTCCCTGTAAAAGGAACCATTTTGATACTTGATCTGTTGATACTACCAGATCTGGAGACAAGTTACTCTGTGCAAGTCAAATTGGTAGAAGATAAAATATTATATATATATATTACTCCACATTCATATGCATGTATTTGTGAGCATATGCCTACAAAGTCTTGAAGAATTGATCTGATGAGACAAACCTGGTACCATCTGAAACTGCCCCATCTGTCAATTGGGGGTGAATTATCTTGTTAGTTGTGCTGTAGTTGGAGTCAGCTGTCATACAATGCAGTGTAGATGTTCAGGGACAAAGTTTCTGAAGTGATACCAGGAGCATGCCAAATTTACAGCACAGAAAAAAACATTACATAGCAGCAGATGGCACACCCTAATCTATAACATAAATTAGAAATCATTAAAATATCTCATCTATCCCTATCTGTGGTAATTATAAGTAAAATCCCCATATGCAATCAAGGCTTTAATTTCCTGAAAAGCTTTCACTAGTTTACCAAAAAATGTGGCAAGCTTTTTGTGTGTATTGATTAATCGAAACCCTAACTGGGGGATAATGATAAAGCTGTGCAGTAACGCCTCTAATTCTGCATTTATACCATTAAAAATGCATTGCGCTGAAGCATGAAGCTATTTTGAATTATTTTCCATTATGTTTCAGACTCATTTAACTTCTTAAGTATCTTATTTTCCAATTTTACTTTTCTCCTTTCATAACATTCTAATGGACATAATCAGTGTGTTTATTTATTGTTACCTAGAACCTATCTAATCATCTTGAAAATTATTAAGTCTCTTGAAGGGTGTAAAAATACCTCAGAAATGAGTGTTTTGTGAAATGCGACTAATCCTGCCTTCTCTGAAGCATACACTGTAGGTTCACAAATCTCATATCACAAACTATTTATTCTACTCATTTTAGAGCACACCAGACAGATTTTCAAAGCCTACTAGCTTCAAAGGTTGTGTCCTGGGATATTCTTGGCTGAAGTGGAGTTAACTTAAATCTTACTTAAAACAGGCTGTGCTCAAAGCATAGCAGCCTCCAGGCTGGCTTGTGAAAGCATGTAATTTTATCTTCAATCTTCCCTGGGTTCTGCCATTAAAGCATAGATTTCCCTGACATTCTCCTGGTTGGACAGACTCAGCTTTGGTACACCACTGACACAGATACATGCTGAGTGATGCATGTGGGGTGTGAACTCAGAGACCACTGCACTGTTAAGCATCTCAGCACAAGA